CTGTCAGATTAAATCTATACTGGACCCGACTATGCCACGTACCCACTGTGATGGGTTTTTTTTTAGCTTAACTTGCAAGTTTGAAGTCCACATCATTAAATAGAAAATCTTATGAAAAACAAAAAATTAGTATTGTTAAAATAAAATTTTAACACAAATATCGTACTTTTTTCAAAAATTACCCTTATTTCAATATTTAAATTATACTAAAATGACTTTTTATACACTGTTTTTTTTTTTTTAATAATGATTTTATAACTTAGAAAGACGTTTATTTAAAGAATGAACAAGGGTAAACAAAAAAATGGTTCACCACCTCTAATTACATTTTTTTACAATTATACATTGGGTTATTTCATATTAATCTCTTAAAAATAGTATGTTTTTAACTACGGCAGTTCTTTGTACTTAGAAAATAAGTCATCGGGACAATTTTTTTTTTTTTTTAATTTATGGTACGAAACAAAAGCATTCATTTCAGAATTTTTTAAAATACATATAATTTTCGGAAAATTTTCAAAAAGTAAGTTGAAAATGTTAACTTTTGTAAAAAGTTGCTATTTTGATTCCGCCCTGCAATTTAAACGTCATATTTTCAAAAAAATTATATCAAATGAAAGGAACATACCTAATGTTTTTATATAAAGAAAAACTATTTTGGTATAAAGTATATTAAATTAGCTTTAATTAAAAATATATATATAATTACAAAGAAACAAAAAATAAAATTAATGTGACAAATATGAAATATTAAATAGCATAAAATTTTATTTGTATCATTTTTATGTAAATTCAGCATTTATTTACAACTTAAATGGTTTTACTCATATTATCTGTTGATAAAAAAAAAGTTATAAGTTAAATTGTGTTTTTGATTCGATGCGAAGATGAGAAGGTATTATTTTTACTGTGATGAGTTTTTTTTTTTTGCTACTTACCTCTTTTTCTCAGTTCTCACTGAATCGATTTTTTTCAACGATATGCTAAAAGATCGCAAATGGTATTTGCTTGAAGACATTACCCTCAAAAATTGAAAAAATTACCATCGTTTTTATTATCTTAATAATAATTATCTTATTTTCTCATAATTTACAGAATTATTTTCCCGATAAAGCAGAGAATGGATTCATTAAAAGTATCCTATTCTGATACATGAGTAGTGAATTGGGCCTATTATTTTCTAGTTTTTCTGTGTTGATGTATAGTTGATTAATGAGATAATAAGAAAATATATTTAATAAGAATATACATTTTGTTTTATTTGGTTAGAATTTTACTTTTAAATTCACGGTTAATTAAAATAGTTCTAAATTTGTAACAATTGAATAGTTTCCTTATTTTTTGAAATCTTAGTATTGGTTTAACTATGATATTTTTTTTGTCACCACTTTTTCTCAACTCTCACCGACCTGATTTCTTTCAATAATACGTCAAAAGATCACAAATCGTATCTAATCAAAGACATTACCCTCAAAAATTGAAAAAATTTGCCTCGTTTCCCATAAAAGGAGGCAATCTTCAAAAAATTGCAAATTTAAAAATCGTTAATTTTTGAAATTTTTTAAATGTTTTTTACTTAAAACTGCTATAACTTTTTTAAAAATAATCAAATCAATATAATTTTTTTTATATAGATGCGTGATGTCTAAAACTATCATTTGGTATAATTTTTTTATAAATCTGACCTTTTATCTGCTCATAGGAGGGGATTTAAAATTACAATATTTTCACAAAAAATTTACTTTTTCAACTTGACTATAGAAAATGTTCCGGAAAGTCTTTCACTTATATATATATATATATATAAATTAAAGATAATGTAATATGCTTTATTATGAAAAATAAAAATTTGACTTCTGGACTTTTCTTCGTGGTGAAAATAGACATCAAAGTTAATAAAAAATTACGATTTTTGTAAAATAATTCTTTTATATATTTTTAACTTAATAATGCTATAACTTTTCGGAAAATGTATGGATCTGTAAATTTTTTTTTTATAGATGCTTGATATCTTTACCTATTATTTGGCATATATTTTTTATAAATCTAACCATTTTCCTGCCCACAGGGAAGATTTAAAATAACAAATTTTTCACAAAAAAATTAACTTTTGAAAGTATTCCTTTTACTTTTTATATATATCTTAAATTAAAGCTAATGTAATATACTTTATTATGGGAAAAAAAAATTTCGGACTTTATTTTATCTTCATGGTGAAAATGTGTTCTGTATGCTATTTCTATGTTAAAATTTTCTATTTTGTTATCTATTTTATTATAAAATATCTTAAAAAATTTTTTTATTGTTATCTCATTTAAATTCAATAACTATAAATTCAATAACTATAAATTCAATAACTATAAATTCAATAAATTTAAATTCAATAATGATACAAATATCAAGGACCCCGTTACTGTACACCCCTCATTTGAAGAAATTTCTTATTCATATTAAAGGTTTTTTTACTATGATTTTTTTTTTATGGCTTTCATTTATTTTCTCAGCTCTCACTTGACCAACTTTTTTTAACGATACAACAAATTATCACAACTAATACACTCAATTGAGTAAATTTTTTTAACAACATTTTATTGGTTTTTTTAGTTAAAGTAAATCACTAAAATTTATTATGTTCTGAATATTTTTAATCGACAAAATTTACTTAAAAATGATTACTATGATTTCTATTTATGTGATGTATTATAATAATATTGAAAAAAAAAATATTGAGCTTTTCTGTATTATATTAATTTACTGTAAACAGTAATATTTTTTTATTCTCATAAAATTTTCTTTTTAATAATGTTAATTTCAAACTTGAAATTGAGCTTAAAGTTGTGGTAACAAATTTAACTTTTTTTTATCATAAACTTTCAAAAAATCAACTGAAAAATACCAAAAAATAGGTTAAAAATGGTATTTTGTACTGATTATTTTTAAAATATTAAAAATCAAATTCTGTAATAATTTAAAAACAATTTCTTGTATTTTTATTATTTCATTATCGTAATACATCATTTCAAAAAAAATATTAATAATTTCTATGTAACTCTTGGTGTTTAAATAGATGATACAATTGAAATATTCAGAACTATTTTCTTTATTGTTGTATCTTATAGTTTTTACCTAATTAGTAATAATATCAAATAGTATTGGTGATATAAAACATATAATGGCTGATTTGAAATTAGCACGAAAAATAGAATAATAAAGGTATCTTTTTTATTCGTAGAAAATTTTTTGCAAACCATTTATTCATAATTTACAAATTATTATCAAAAAAGTTCTCTGTCAAGCCCTTCAATTTTTTTACACGTTTGTCATAAAAGTAATAACTACTTAAAATTTTTTTATAAATTCTCCGAAAAAATTACAATAGTAAATTATTAAATATCAATTTCATACTATGTTGAATTGCTTTAATATATATTTATTCATAAATTATACTTAAAAATCAACTACTAATCTTCTTCTTATCGTGTCCGGAACTACTAATTAGGAAATATTAGGAATGATAGAAATAGAAGTTAATTTTGCTTTTAGAATAATCAACCAATTTCTTAAAATTAAAGACTACAGATTTGAATTGAATTGTTTTTTATGATAGTGATTTTAATCACTGTTAGATATCATCTATACTGGACCCAACTATACCACGTCCACTCTTTTTATGATTTAAAAGTATTAACTAATGTTTATCACATAAACCTCATGGTTTTATGATCTTAGGACTAATTTAAGAATACTTGTCCGTTAGCCAGAAAAACAAAAATTTATTGCGTAGCTTCACAAATACACAACTGATGAATGCTTTTCAATAAATTTTTTATGATTACTTTATTATTCATTTTTTTTTTCAAGAATTTTGCGATTATTCACTTATAATATATTGTATTTGACAGAGAACACTAACACACACACATGTCTGCTGCATATATTTTGTTGTTTGTACAATGTGGCAGCAATAATATTCATTCGTATTAATCGATTTTCGCAGGGTTTTATTTTTTTAACCAGATACTTTTCAACGTTGGTCATCTGTAATACTACGCGTACAAATAGTGCATTCATCAGCTAAGATTTGTCCAGAAAGATGTAGTAAGATTTTTTTATTTTCCTTTCAATGTACGAAGACAGCGCCGCCTGCCTAAGCAAATTTCGTTTTATTCTCGGTAACGTGAATAGGTTAATTCGATATTCACATCGCAAAACATGCAATGAGACCTTAAGCGGGATTTCCCCTTACATTTTCTGGTGATTTTATTTGTGATTACAAGATTCCTTAAATGATGAAGTCTCCTGTAATTTTCCTCATTTACTATTTGATTGCCCAGCTTTACAACATATCNCTAAAAAAGAAAGAACAAAACAAAAAAGATCTAGGATATTAAATTAACATACAGAAAAATATTATACAGGGTGTTCAGTAAGTCAGGAAACGGGTTTCTATTGTTCTCATTGTTTGTAACAATGAGAACAATAGAAACCCGTTTCCTGACTTACTGAACACCCTGTATAATATTTTTCTGTATGTTAATTTAATATCCTAGATCTTTTTTGTTTTGTTCTTTCTTTTTTAGTATTTTGATTATGTTTAATTTATTAATTTAACGATATGTTTAATTGTGTATAATAACAATATATCTTTTTTTCTTTTGTATAGTCTTAGTTCTATTGTATAGTCTTAGTTTCTATTGTATAGTTTTATCTTAATCGTTTAGCTATAATAATACTTCTGTATTGAAAGCTAAAAAAAAAAAAAAAAAAAAAAAAAAGATTCCTTAAAAACTAAACAAATATTACTCTTGTATAAATAAAACGAGTTTCCCGCCATTATTTATGTACGGTTAATAATGCATAATTATAAGAAAACCTATTTTTTATTATTCTTTCAAAAAATAAATATTGTATCGTCTTGAGAATTTTGTAGAGATTTACTCATAATATTTATCGTATAACGTATTAAATTTTTAAAATAATGACTATTATTTTCTGTGCAGGGTCTAAACAGACTTATAAAAGCTGGCCAATCTTTATCAACCATGTTAAAGCACGTGCACCGAGCAAAGAACTCCGACACGGTGAGCATTGTATCTACATCCAACTCTTTTTTGGCTCAAGAACACTCTATGTCTAGTAGGTGTTCGAGTGTTTCGTCACTGAATATTTCTAATCCAGTGGTAAGTGTGATATTTTTACATAAATTGATTATTAAACTACTGTTTGTTTTATAAGTTTATTAGCTAATGATCTTTCTAATTATAATTTAATAAATATGAAGAGTGTAATTAAATAAATTTAAAGCGTTTGGTATGTTAAAACATTTTTTATAGACCAATAATGATCTTCTGTAGGTTCATTCATTCTCTCTGATTATATCTAACTACTCACACACGTTTGCAATTAATATACCCCAAAGAAATGCCTCTTCCTTGTTTAATTTTCTTTTTATTGTTTTCATGTTAACTGTAAACGATGATCTCGTGATCGAACTAAAAGTTAAGTCAGATTTTAAAAACTAATATATTGAAGACGAAAGAGGTGGTTATTAAAGAATTATTTACTTAGATTCTTCTGCTTTACCAGATTCTAAAATTAAGATAATATTCTATTGATGCAGCTGTATTAATGAATCATTTAATTAAATATAATATACTATAATGTATATGAACGTCTCATTAGTAAAATTAATTGATTAACTATGTTTTTGGTAATGTAATAAGTGTTTGACAGTGAGTTGGATGAGTTTTAAATAAATTGACGATTCCAACTCAATGACGAATAAAAAGTTTTATTAGCAATGTGATAATTGATAGATTGAGTAATAATTTAATTATTTTCTATGTTGTAGACTACTATAAAAGTGTACACAAATTGTCTAAGAGCTGATTTGGAATACAAAACACTCGGTCTAGCTTACAGCACTACTTGTAGTGAAGTGATCTCTATATTACTGAAGAAGTATCGAATGCGACACAGGGATCCGAACTTGTTCTACATGACAATGGAAATAAATCTGAGAAAAATAGGTATGTCTTATTATTTTTTTACACGATAAACTTAATTCAAAGATAAAATATTTCACTGATCGTTGGTTTTGTTTATAATTACTTAGGACTGAGGACTGTTTTTGTTTTGGATAACGAAGCGTGTCCCGCGGTGCTTCAATCTTGTCATCCGCAAGGAGAGTCTAGGTATGTGTTGCCCACAATTGTCTATATTTAAAAACAAACGTTTCTAGTAAAAATAAAGATAATTAATAATTTTTCAAGTTTATTGGTTGAGCCAAACTCGAAGTCATTTGTGATTTATCATCTCAATTTGTCTTGGCCAACGATCTTGTGATTTAGTGTTTTGTTAGCAGCGTTGTTATGTTATAATAATTTAATGAAATTTTGTTTTACCTTAAGGTTTTGTTTGCAGTCAAAAACTGGCGGGTTAGTTAAAGTCTACGACGGCGAACTCATGCCAGGAGTAAGTATAAAATAAACATCATGACTTATGAAAATTTTAACATTATTTGTTTATTGCAGTCAAAGTACAAAAGCTTACTAATATCCGACAGGACTACCATCGATGAGCTTATTCGAATTTTGTTGAACTGTTGTAGCAGTAAAGAACAAGTCGAACAGTTTTCTTTGTATGAGGTGAGTCAACTGTCTAATTGTTTTTACATTTAAAACAGTATGATTATGTACATCTTATGCCATCTGTTTGTATAGGTTTCAAAATCTGAAGAGTACCAACGCAAACTACATCACGATGACTTGCCATTGAAAGTGCAATGTTGTTGGCCTTTTGATAGCGATTATTATTTCCTGTTGAAAAGAAATCTTAACTACAAATCTAAGCAAGTGAGTTGTCGTCACGTTTAAATTTATTAAATTAATTTTCTTCTAATCTCGTCATAAACTATATCGCTTTTACAAAGTAAAACGACTCTAAATCTCTGAATTTTGTTTTATTATTATTATTAACAAATAGCGCCTTCATAATTTGACCAAAGAAAACAAATACGTACACGTGCATGTCGATTAAAAGAAAAAACCTTCGCTCATTAACCAGCTTCCGGACAGATGGTCGATCCTTTTGTTGAGTATTTTATATTGTACAAAACTGGGGGTGGTCTATTCAAAATAACAGCTTTTCAGTTTATTAAATAGACGGAAATCACTGTCGAAATAATATAATATTGGACCATTCTCTTATGGATTACACATAATATTTATAATAGCAGCTGCTTTGAAACTGTTTGTTATTTCAATGAACTATATTTTCCTATGAAATATTCATCTAAAATTCCTGTTAAATTTCTTAATCTTCAAACGCGAGATATTATAAAAAATAAGTACGTATAATCAGAAACGTTTGTCCAGGGGGATATGCATAAGGTATTTTTACTACGCCGTCCAAAATACTTTTTCACTGTTTATATTTGCACATAAGAGGTTATTCCCCCATAATTTCCTCCTCCGTTAAAAAACCTATGCGTTCAACAATCGTTACTTATTATTTAATTTGATGTATCTTAATCATTTGTTATGTCATATTTAGAATAAAAATGAGCTTTTTTAACATAAATTCTTTATATTGGTTAAGTTATATTTATTTCTTAAATAAAATATAATGTTTTATTTTTTAGGCGCAAAAGAGTTGGAAAAGTAGACAGCAAGAAAAAGGGACCAAGAATGATTATGAAAATTTATTTTATATTTAATTGAAATATTTTTAATGAATATTAAAATTAAGTAACACGAATATCAACATTGGTTTCCTATTATTACTAAAGCACTGATCATTGATCACTCACTTCTTGTCTTCACTTTTTTTAAATAATTTTTTTTGTTTCTTACTAATTTGTAAATTATATTTAGTGTTGACAATTTTTATTTTTGTTATTATTAATTGTTTAAATTTTAGTTACCAAATTTACATGTAGATCAGACAAAAATGTTTAAAAATTTATGTTTAGTATTTAATAAAATAAAAATTTGATTTTCATTTTTTTAAATGCTAATATTTATTTCTAAATTTTAGAAATAAATAATATTATTAATAATAATTTGATAAGTAAAAATCAACAAGATGAGAATTATGTGTTATTAATATTTTGAATTAACAATTATCAAATTTTCTTAATATCTGATTTATAATTTACATTTTAATTTAAAATAATGCATATTATATCTCAAGATATTTTTTTTTGTTTCTGTTGTAACACAAACATGATATCTTATTTTTTTTACAATTATAAACTTTATAGGGAAAAAAATATAATTTTTAATATAAAAGTTGCTAGTCTTGGTTAAATGTATATGATAATTATTTGTTTATAATACTGAATGAACAAAATTTGGAATTTGTTATCATTTTATTTATGTCATAAATTTGTGTATTAATTATCCCTTTAAGAAGCATAATACATTCAAAATTACAATATAGATTCAAAATAGCAAATTATACCTAAAGATACATAATATTTTAATAAGTTAAAATCTCTAAAAGACACAAGTTTCTATTGAATATCAATTTGAATATTAAATTAAGTAAAAAAAAATTTTGAAAATAATTTAAATATTTAAGTTACATACTTTAAAATTAAAGAAGATTGATACAAAACTAATTTAAACTTCAATGAATTGTTTATCATTGATTTAAATTTGATTGTTTTAAATTGTGAAAAGTTCTTTGAAAACATTAGTATAGCTATGTAACTAATAATAATACTATAAGTTGCATTGTATAGTATTACATTACACTTATTGTAATTTATGATTTTATCTATGAAAATTGATATACTTTGATTTATTTAAGAAGAGACAATTTTTTAATTGAACTAGTTAGTAATACTTAATTTACTGGTTTTTTACTGGGTAATTAGAGAGAGAATATAATGTCGTATGACTAATATATTCTGATATTTATAGATCTCATATCTATTATTATTGAATTACTAAAAAAAATGTTAATGTATACAGTTTATTTTAATATTTAACTAAATTCACAGTTTGTTAAGTTATCAATAATTTATTTAAGAACGTGTAATGCACTATTTTTGTACCAACAATTTATGATTAGTCATTTTTTTTTTTTTGCCAAAGATCAAACTATTTGTATTTAAAATAAAGTAATATTTATGAAAAATTGTATTCAAATAGTTTTCTTTGTTATAAATACTTATTTTTAGTTCTGGAATTATTAATTTTTTAATTCTAGGTGAATATATATATGGGAAAAATTTCATTAGTCTATGTAAAAAATTCATTATGGAATTATTTTTATATTGGGTAATTTATCATTTTGCTCTATATTTTAAATTTCTGTACATAAATATTCATCTGAAAAATAGTTTTTAATTGTTACATTGGCTTATAATAGTCGATTTTGAACAAACAATTAATTTTTACAGAAGCCAGGGAAAATGCTTAATTTTTGTAAAGAAAATCACAGTTAAAATATATTTAATTATTTATTTAAATTATGTGAAGTCCAAGGGGCTTTATTATTTCAATAAATTTTATAATACCTAAAATAATAAATAATTATTTAGAATAGCAATTTTTTACTGCCATTCAATGTTATATATGCCACATAATAAATTAATAAAATACATTTTTCTAGTATCTATTGTTAATCTCGATTTGATATACAATCAACACATTATAAAAAATTACAATTATGAAAAGCAAATAAATAACAAAATTTAAATTACTAATTTTTCCTTTTTTCTAACCAGGAAATAATAGTTTTAATGATTTAAAAACTGTAAAATAAAATAAACTTTAATAAATAAACTATAATATTTTAACAATAACTTTATTTAGAAGACTTGATCAACTAGTACTTGAATCCTTCCAGGTAAAAATGAAATTTATTCATTAATTCAATTATTTAATAGGCATAATTATAATATTTATAATATAAAATAAATTGTTTTATTAATAAATTATTATTTGATTTATTTTTATAATTATAATGAGTGAATTATGTAAACTTGTAAATTTGATGGTATATCACAAAAGGTACTGAGGATTTTTAAACATGTAAACTTTAAATAGTGCTGTTGTACAGAAACTCAAGGAACATAATACTAAACATAAATATTCTAATACAGCTTAATAGACTAGTAAAAAATAAAATAAGGTTAAAAGTTTGTTTAAAATGAAATAATATATTAATAAATTAATTTCCATTTATCAGATAATTAACTGGATTTATTTGATGAATTTCTATTCATTTGATTTAAGTTCTCCACTTTAAAATTAATATCCAAGTTGTCAAATAGCAAAATTAAGTACTAAAGGAATAATGAGTCTGAATTTTTTTACAATTTTTAATTAACTAGTTATTTCTAATTATAAAAAAATTATAAATTCTCATTAGTTATAATATCGATAATAAATATTGAACTTATCATGGATTACTTGAAATATCAGCAAAACTTTTAAAACTTCTTTTAGTTTTATCATGAAAACTCGACAATGTAGCTAATTACCGTGTAAATCACAAATCAAATGTTGTGGTTACAGCTGAATTTAATGAAGATTGCTCAATATCAACCTTTATTAGTAAACACTAAGCTAAACAGCTTAACATCAATTAGGTGGCGCGCTCTAGCCGTAACTTTGGCACCTAATAGTAGTTCGACCTACATGGCTGAATTGCAATGATTCTCCTTTCATTTCCTTGCCCATATTATTAGATTAAGATAATGTTTTGTAAAAAAAGTGCCAGTGTATGTTTATGTTTGTAACAAGTTCGATGTAAATGTGTATTTTTTTTTATTATTCTTTATATTAATTATTTAATTAATATAAATAATATATTAATATATTAATACTTATATGCATGAGTCTTACTGGCCTCTTGGCAGATCGCCCGCACGAAATGTGGTTCATAATTGTGTCACGTGTATTCGATTCAAACCAAAATTTACTGTTCCACTCATGGCACCATTACTCTATCTGGGGTTGACTTTTGTGGCCCTATAGGAATCAAAAGTGGTATCAATTAAAGCATATATTTCAGTCTTCATTTGTTTTGCTACTCGAGCTGTCCATTTTGAGGTAGTAGTTCTTTGACAACTGATGCTTTTATTGCAGCTCTACATCGCTTCATGTCACGTCATGGTTTTTTTTGCTAATTTGTATAGCGATAATGGTACAAACTTTACTGGAGCAGACGCTATGTTGAAGAAGTATTTTAAAGAAGTCAGTAGTCAACAATCGGTAGACAAATACTTGGCTGAAATGGGCGTCATGTGGCACTCCATTCCTCCGTCGGCTCCACAATTTGGTGGCATTTGGGAAGCAGCAGTCAAGTCAAAGAAATCAAATAATAAATCTATTTAAACACGGGTGTATATTATAGATGTATAGTAGAACAATTATTAAATATTATCAGTAAATAATGTTTTTAACACACGTCGTAAAGTATATACTGTTCATAATCAAAAATATATATATAGGCATACATATAGTAAGACAATTGCTAATAAGCCTACTCTAATTACTTCATCTAACTAGGAGACGTTATCGTAGATACTTATGGTATACCATAAGTATAATATACTTAAATGATTCATGTGTAATACATATACTATACATGCAAATAGATACTTAAGTATATTGATCTATGTTGATCGATTTGATCCAACCCGATCGTGATTCATAGAGATAGACTGATAATTATTTATGGATTACGTACTACGTTAGATATAAGAACTAAATAAATTATCACAGGACATATATTTCCAAATAATAGACACTTTCCTATACCACTTGAGTATTTTCACTTTAATATGTCTATAATCACCTGTTTATACGTATAATTATTCACTTATAGAAGTTGAGATCTTTACTTCTTTTACTGTTGATACTATTGCATATGCCTTGTAATATAAGACAAAGTATTTTCGTATATGATAATCATATATGGGAATTTACATTTTTATAAAGTGTTTATGTTAAGAAATTGGTATATTAATAATTCTTAAATACTGTAACTATTAAGAAAATATTGTTATACTACCTGTTACTATTAATAATGCAATGAAGTTTAAAAAATGTTTAACTTCGACGGGACTTATAGAAAGTATTAATTTTACTATGATGCGTTTTTTTCTTATTTGTCTAAAAATTCATGTATAATTACTTAATAATGAATGTGACATAGATCATTGTATATAACGTTATACATGTGAGAGGGTGAAGTATTAGCTATGAACAGGTATAGATCATTAAGTATAGTTTTTAATATAAATACCCTATCTCAACACCTCGAAATGTAGGATTTTTTTTACTTGTAACGCTCTATGCTGAACAAGTACGCATACAAACTATCATTTATTCAACTAACCAGCGTATTCAATCATAAACAAAAAATAAAATTAATACGATTGAAAATTTGTACAAGAAATGTATTATGGATTTCAATGCCACAAGTGAGTAAAATAAATTAATAATAGTATTCTTCATATATCGTTAACATGTATTTTATATGTAAAAATAGGAGATTACAATTTTAAATATTGTGATTGTGAAATCAATAAATGTTATCAACATAGGGCATTATTAAGAGATGTCTACCATACCGGACAATATATCAACATTTGGGCCGATGTAGTGTTCGAATATTTCGTTAATAAAGCAAAGTATGAAAAATATGAGGCAATTACTAACGATTTAATTGAACGCACATCGGTCGATCTGGAGATTTATTTACGAGAATTGTATGAAAAGCTATTCACCGTAAAGTCTGATTATGGACATAAACGTTGGCTTGAAGGTAAAAAAATTATTAGTAATACTTTTGATAATAAAATTAAAACTAATAGTTAATAGACGAAACTAATTTACTTTATAAAGGTTGAAAATTATGTTTACATAGATTATTTTTATTGTACAGTAAGACTTAGCTTATTTACAGATAACAGTCAAAAGTTGAGGAGTGGATTTAAAAATCATCGTATGATAGATCTTGTTTGCATGTATAAC